CTCATAATAATGTCGTTGAACCACGTAGTTAGTTTCTTATTGCTGGTTATGTGTATGTGTGTGATATATAAATAAGTCTAAAGGCTTATAATGCTAAAAATCAGGTTTCGATCCCCGTCGTAGGCAGAGCCCAGATAACTTATTATGTGGCTTTATACTTAACAACAAACATCACACACACACACAGTATTATTCCATGAAGGGCTTTTTTGAGTACAAGTATTTGTTTATGCTTGACAATAACAATTCATTCTAAATGTATCGAAATTTGTGCTTTCATAGCGATGTCATATTTTTTTTTCTTTGTAAGTATACATATAATGCTTCAAAATGCTTCTAACAGTACATTGTATTCTTTATATATGGATATGTTAATGCCATACATTATGAACGATGTATGGAGAGTGATGACATTTCGCTTGTGAATAAAAATTTTCGAGGCCTGAAATATATATTTGATATGGCAAGCGAAAGTGTTTTTGTGCCAAATGAAAAAACGTATTTAGATATTTTGTACATTTCTAGAAATTCCGTAAATGTTATAGTTTTGTTCACAATATTAGGCAGCAGAATCTAATTGTTTTAAAAGTGTCTGACGTCATTATATTCCTTGTTTAAAATCTGTTGATGGTGTGAACGCCTTTTAGAACCTGGCAAAGTATGATATAATTAAGACATTATGTTAGGCTTATTATATTTTCAACACTATAATCCTAATCTAGTCCCTTGCGGATCTTCAAGAATTAGAAGAGTGTTTAATAATAGTATTTCAAACACATGGTATTCGTCATATCCATTGTCGATGACGCTAGCACAGTAGTGGTCGGAATACTATATATATCCAATCAAAAACACCTTAGGTGTGAAAAAAATGGTGTAGCCAAGAAAGATTGGGCGTGCGACTTAAAGGAAAATCAAAATTGTTTGCCAAATTGGTAGCTACACTTATAGCACTTATAAGACTTTTACAGTAAATGTTCATTTATTAGTTAGCTAGGTCGCATTTTTTATTCAACTTGGGCATGGTGTTGGGTAAAACAAAATGCGCGATCTGGCTAACTAATGAATGAATATCAATGCTATAAGTGTAGCTACCAGTTTGGCCACCAATTTTTATTTCATTCCTTTAAGTCGCACACTCAATCTTTTTTTTTTTTGGCCGCACCTTTTTTATTCACACCTAATGTGTTTGAGAGTAGATATCATGACTATTTTTCAATACGCACTAACAAACCACAGCAAGTAAGAAAGTGACAATCGATAGGATATAAACCCTATTATTCGGAACAGACCTATATTTTACAGAACGAACCAGATTCTTTAAAATTTATGGTAGTAGTTTTTCCTCTCTAAAACAGTTTTAATAACCTTCTTTAAAATAACACTATAAAAACTAGATACCGCATGCAGTCGGTACAGCCGTATCAAGCCGCTAATTGCTTAAGCTAATATCACGTGACACTAAACAATCTTTAATTAGAAGAATTTGATAAAACTTAGCAAATTTATGCTTAAAAGTTGGTAGTGAATAATAAATAATAACCCTTTACCCTATGATTCTTTTGAAAACTTGAGCTAGAAACTGCTAAATCTAGTTTGCTTGTCCTACCCAATACTTATGTATCTCCACGTGTATTCACCTTATAGTTTTGCTGCTCTAAATCAGCCGTATTCAATCCGAGTGACAAAACTCTAGACACGGTCCACTTTTATTCTTAGGCGAAGCTGTAGTAAAAATTTTAGACCGATAGATCACGTCACTTTTTGCGTCAAAATTGAGCAGTTTTTGAATAAATTTGCACAGATGGGTTATATTTAGACCCAAATTTGACACCGAATTGTAAGTTGTAACGATCTATCAGTGTACCGAATTTTAAAGAATTCCATGAAATTTAAATATGTTTTTCTATTGCATAAAGTTTCCATACTTTCGGTGCGAAGAAAATAAAAAAAAGGAAGAAATTCAGTCAACATTGGAGATTTTATATCTTGTGTATTTCTAATGTATTGCCTTTAAATTATATTTCTTTAAATTTCTAATATCGTTTTAGCTTGTGTACTCGAGAGCATTTGGCATCACATATCACACAATTTGAAAGTGAACAATAGTTAATAAATCATTCATGCTTAAATCCGTTCATCTTTCGCATAAGAATAATACAGGAAATTACATTAAGTGACTAGCTTAGTATATGAATATAATTAGTCACCTCTTCACCAGAGGGCAATACCTTTGTACAGTACATTAATACAAAAACTTATTTGTTCATATTTCCTAGAATATCACTGATAACAGTTTAATTGCGGTAATTATAAAAACTCTCCAACTGAATCCTCAAGCCGTTAGTAAATATGTTTTATTAAAGTCTCGAACTTCTTCATCTGTATATCGTGAAGTTATATTCACAGTAAAATAACTCTAGTTTTCTAGTTGCTTAGCTCGTATCGGAAAACTAGATACACGGAATTATTCATTGGATTATCACGTTATTCGCACTTAATTAAATAAAGTCTTGAAATGTTGTACTTGGATATACAGTATTAATTGGACGACCTGTTGCCTAAGTCAAAGTTGGTCAAATGTTCTCCAGTGAGCACTAACAACAGAAAATTTTGAATACTTTTAATTATATTGTTGGTGTATTTTAATTTGAGAATTTCTCTGTGATTTCAATTATTGGTTTGTCATCTTTCATGTAATTATTCCGTTGAAGCTCAGAGCGATCAGTTCTAACTTGCTGTGGTTATTTTTCTTTCTTTATTACATTGTGGAAAACGATTTTATATAAAACCATCACGACATGTACAGCCGAGAAAAGTTGTGAAAATATTTTAAATTAACTTTCTTCACCATGGATTTTACAATAAAACGTGTTAAAGAATAATGCGTCCCATTTTCTATCGACAAAATATGCAGAAGCTATAATTTTGGCATTGACATAAGTAATATCACTGACGATAAAGTGCATGAATATGAAAACAGGAAAAGAACTTTAATGCTTCTTCAGAAAAGTATTATGAAGACGGTCTTAGAGCGTAAATTATAAATAAAACGTTAATAGTTCTTTGCTAATTTTCTTGTGTAAACTGATGACTATTGAGAAAACAACAGGTACATCACTACCAAATGGTGTAATGGTTTTGTGTAAACTGATGACTATTGAGAAAACTTTGGTAGTGATGTACCTGTTTTTCGTAAGGTTTTGTGTAAACTGATGACTATTGAGAAAACAACAGGTACATCACTACCAAATGGTGTAATGGTTTTGTGTAAACTGATGACTATTGAGAAAACAACAGGTACATCACTACAAGATTTCGTAAGGTTTTATGTAAACTGATGACTATTGAGAAAACAACAGGTACATCACTACCAAATGGTGTAATGGTTTTGTGTAAACTGATGACTATTGAGAAAACTACAGGTCATCGCTACTAAATTTTGTAAGGGATTGTGGGTGTACGCTTAGTAAGCATAATTAGACATTGTCTAAGCGTATCTTACACTCAGAGATGTGAACGAAGGACCATTCTTTCAGTCATACTGAATTGTATATAATGTTCCTTTAAGAGTTGTCTTATAGTTTCCTCAGGCATTTCTGTGTTTCTATAAGAGGGTAGCTCATTTAGGGTTTTTTCCCTTTTTTACGTATGTTTAGTCATTACCTACTTTTCAAAACAAAGTTTATTACCTAAATATCAATGAAAAATTATATAGAAAGTATTAGTTCAGTAGAAGGCAGAATTTTTATATAGATGAAAGTGAAAAAAAAGATGTCTGTTTGTGAGTTATAATGTAAAATTATTTCGTGGTAATTTCAGTCTGACCTTAAAGTACAATCTAGATTCTAAGCGACAGTTTTACCCCTTTCATCAAACCCATTAATTAACATTTAGGTGATACAACTAATACTTGAAACCGCCGGTACTTGATGGAACTCCATTCATTTATTGAGACCATTGTTTCGCCACTGAAGGCCTTTATTAGCGCAAACAAGGGCCGGCATGGCCAGGTGGTTAAGGCGCTCGACTCGCAATCTGAGGGTCGCGGATTCGAATCCCCGTCACACCGAACATGCTCGCCCTTTCAGCCATGGGGGCGTTATTATGTGACGGTCAATCCCACTATTCATTGGTAAAAGAGTAGCCCAAGAGTTGGCGGTGGGTGGTGATGACAACCTGCCTTCCCACTAGTCTTACACTGCTAAATTAGGAACGCTAGCGCAGATAGCCCTAGTGTAGCTTTGCGCGAAATTCAAAACAAACAAACAAGCGCAAACAATGGTCGTAATAAATGAAATATTTGTGAAATGCACAGTTGTCTTTCTTTCCCTCAATTCTGTAATTTAGGCGTATTTTGTATTTAATGTTGTTTCTTTGTTTTATAATCATAAATTAGAAGAAAAAAAAATGATGAATTAAAACCGTGGATTACTATTAGTTCCACGCTATTCTGTTCAGTTTTTCTTATTTATTTATATCATACCGTAAAATCGGTTATTAACCCTTATCTACTAGGGCGAGGCGTATATGACGCAAGCAATTATATTTGTTAATGATAAATTTTAATATTATGTGATAATAATGTGATTTTTATGTCTTTGGAAGCTTTTGAATACAATAATATACATTATTTACTTTTTCAAACGTGTCGCTTTTCTAAACCAAATCCTTTGGGATTTCTATGACTCTACCAAAATTATGTTGTTGTTGTTCTTTTGTTTTTATAACCTTATGAATACGTAAGTCGTCATTCAGGTATACCAGTAACATGTTTGAATTAGAATTTTGTATTAATTTTTATAATGACTTCATCAGAATCTAAAATCTGGAGTCGAAAAATATTTTCATGTGTTTGGACCAGAGTGTCGTCTCTAGCATAATAGATTCATAATGTGTTATGGCTATTTGCATTCTATTTTGTACAAAAAAGGCCCAGGAGTGAGCTATCTTCAATGCAGTCATTTCATGATAAGCGCAGTAGGACAATGATTAGGCTTTCTGTATATCGTCGTGGTTATTTGCAGCCTGATCGTGTATTTCGTGCAAGTTCTGTGCAGAGCGCGTGACACTACGAGCTACTCGTACTTTGGTATACGCACAAGTACGGTAAGTAGTGCAGCCTTTGTATCAGCTGTGCAGATAAAGGTAACAATGTAACGATTGCTTACTTGAACTGATGACGTGTTATTTACGTGAGGGACGAGTAGATCCTGTTACTATAAAGAAAGATAAATGTGACAGTAGGCAGTCTGCCACGAGAGTAAGAACTCGAACTTGGTACCACCAGTTATGCAGAATACAAAAAACGTTGGACTAGCTTGCATTGTTCTGAAGGAGTTTATAATGCATTTTAAGAAATACACAAATTATGAAAGTGGACCACAAAATAATATTAATATACTGTAAAAAAATTGGGCTGGGTTAGTTTATTCACACTTGTTTTTTATTACATTTGTAACATCACAGGGAGGTGATTCTGTCTCCAAGCTATGAGAATACTACTGAAGTTGAGTCTCTCAGAAGAAACTGTATATCTGGAACTCTCCAGGAACACACTTCGTTTCCTCACAGGGAAGTGTGCTGTGCCACAAAACAATATTAATACACTGTAAAAAAAAATGTGGCTGAGTAATTTATTCACTCATTTCTTTTATTGCATTTGTAGCATCATAGGAAGGTGATTCTGAGTCCAAGCTATGAGGATACTACTGAAGTTGAGTCTCTCAGAAGAAACTGTATATCTGGGACTCTCCAGGAACACACTTCCTTTCCTAACAAGGAAGTGTGCTGTTCACCAGGTTTCTCTCCCAGCCCCTGTCCTTCAGAGATGGCTATTCCAGCACCTGTTTATTTTCTTATAAAGGAACAGGCAAAGTCTCTAGTTGCCATTAAGGTGAGTGGAAATGTAATCTTGAGCAAGTACTTTATTGTATAGTAATTTGTCACTCCAAATATAATCTTTTTCTTATATTTTGTCCTGTGCAAATGTTTCATTCTGCATTCAGCAACACCACAACATACATAAACAAAACAGTATTTTATTTTTCAAATAATAAGGTTTGTGTCAAGAAATTAATTAAACATTAAGTGAAATTTTTGCTGATTATATTAAATAAACAAATTATTTCTGAAAAATTGCTTGCAGTACAGTATAACCATACATGAGATGGGAGGTCAGTTGCATGTTTCTTTGACCAGCTTAGTATAATTGAACTAGGTCAGCTTATCAATTACTTATTTTACTAACTTATGTTCAGCTAAATAATATCTACTGTTTATTGTGAACTGTAAATAATTTTAACAAAAGTTCTTACATTGCAAACCGGTATCTGATACTAGAACTTGTATTAACTTTGGTGGTTGTACAAGCCAGTTCAGTTATTGTACATGTTGAGGGAAAGGAATGAAATCTTCCTTATATTTTGTGTATCTATCTGTTCTGTGGTTCTATAGATAAGGTATTAGTTAATGTGTGTAATTTTGAGCTGGTGCCTGTGAGTCAGAAGATTAATAATTTCTTTCAAGAAACATTGTGAGATTGTTTAAATATGTGTGTAACTAGTACTATTTTCTTGAATTGTTGGTATCTTGATGAAATATCTTTTAACTTATATGTACATGCACATGTTGAGAAGTTGGTATTGCAAATAATTCTTTTGGGGTTATGAATTGTTTTTAATTCAAAACAAAATGCTGGAACTGTTAGTTTTGCACATTAAATCCCCCATAGTGATTTTAAAACATTTGTTAAATAGATGATGCTCTAAAAACAAACAAAATATTATGAATATGTTTTTTCTTCTTTAAAATATTAGGTGTACAATAATGCTGAATTACATTTTTTCATCGAAGCATGTAAATGTGGTTTTGGTTGATATATCCAATTTCTTAAAATTTTTGATCAGTTCTTTTATACATATATATTGCTAGCTTGTGCAGTAAATAGATTAGATATGGACATGTTTTATATGGATTTTTTCAGTATATTGCTGAATTACTTAGAAATATATATATATATACTAAATTATTTTATAATCTTATTTCATAGAAGTAGACTAGAAAACCAAATCAGAATAATTTTTTAAGGTAATAGGGACCAATGATTTATTGTTCTCATCACCAAATAATTTGTTTAAACCTCATTAAAAAACCTCCCCTTTTAAGATTGGTTTATTAATATTGGAAATACATTTTCCTGTTATAACTACGTTGTAAATTAAAGTACACACAATATATTCTGTAGTGTAAAAAAAGTATATAATTTACTATATGTAATTTCTGACTTGTACCTATGCTTTAAGTATCTATGCATACAAAGTGCTCAGGAGTTAAATAAGAAACTTACTATAGATCTTTAATTCATAACACTACCTTACCTGTGCTTAGATCTAATGGTTAGTTTTGTATTCTGTCATTGTCAAAACCTTATCTTGTTACCATGTAACTTTCCAACCCTAGATAATATCACATTCTTGATCAATCATGATATTCAAAAACACCAGGATGAACAGAAAAATGTAGTATTAGAAAAATAGTTTAATACCTTGAGCACTTCCAGTGGTTTGATTGAAGGAAAACCATTTTTATGAAAGCACTCACATTATTGGGTTTCTTTTCTGTCCTTAATGACAGAGGTGTTCTCTCTGTGAAGACAGTTTCATTATTACCTGCAGAAGTATTATACATGTATCATTATTTCTTTTCAAATATTTTGTATTGAAAGAGTTGTGGAAAGTGAATGTCGGGTGAGTGATGTACATATAACCTTTTTAAACAACCTTTTATGAATTTCCATATTTGTTTGTCACAAAAGTTACTGACTGTCAATACTGTATAGTGTATAGAAACATTCTAATTAATAGAGATTGTGTTATTGAAACAGAATCCAGGAAAAATTTCTAGAATACCTGTGTATTTACTGTATTCATTGACTTCAGTGCATCTTTCTTTCAACAGAATATTTATGAAGACATATGTTCAATAAGATTTTTAACTCTATCGGTTGAAATGTACTGTAGTAAATAGATTTCATGTGAACATAGAAGAAATGAAACTGATTTTTACTTTTAAAATATGTTTTACAAAATTATTAATTTAAGGTTTGAGCAGACAACATTTGAATGACTGACTTTACATCTGTTAATTACATGCACAAAGTCTTTAAGCACAATTTCAAGTTATGAGCATACATTTGTTATGTATCTGTCAGAGGTAGACATGGTATGCTTTTTTGTTTCCAGCTGCTGCATTTGACTTTGGTGTTCATATTTTAGGTTGAATATGGAGATGGGTTTCATAAAATTGAATTGTATACTACACTATATGCATTTACAATTAAATGGGCAAACATTTAATATAATCTGTTAAATTACCCTGAATGATTTTCAGAAATAAATGTCTTTTTAATCGTGTGCTAATTTAACTTATCCTTTTGTGAGAATGCAGCTATTTTGTTACATTAAGCATGTGCTACCCACACTGGAAAGACAGTAATTTATTCAAATTTCATATTTGTTCATTTGTGGATTTGCTGCCTTTGTGATTGCTTTAATTTTGCTTATTGCTTCTATATAATTGTGTGGTAATCCTGCCTGATGATGATGGTAGGTGGATGTTTCTGAAAAAAGAATAAATTATCAGAGCTGCTCAAATGTTGGAAACTGGACAAACATCTTGTCAAGTGTGAGCTCATTTTGATGTATCCAGTGGGAAGCTTTGAAAAGACTTATTATATCCCCCTAGTTTCCTGTACATTCAGTTTGGACAACAAACTTCATGAGTCTGTGGTAATGTTTAGAAGGCCTACTTTAGCCCTCTGGTTTACTCTATATCTCATTTGGACTTTTGTGAAGAATGTCGGGATTTATAGAAATCCAATTGGACATCTGTGTACTTCACTGGTGAGTTTGCATCTGGAAAATCAGAGAGGTGATGTAGTTACCATGTGGGGAAACAACAGTGTTAATGGAAATACATATCTTCTTGTACTTCCAAGGGATGGATTTAGTGCTTAAAAATATATATATTGATGTAGTATTTAAACCAGTTATATTACCTTTTGTGGTGTAAACAGAATATGTGTCCTATTGCTGGGTTTGTTATGAACTTTATTGTGTCATAAACAATAAATCACAGATGTTGTGGATTAGCAAGCAATTAGACTTGTATTAAATACTATACAACACCTCTGAGATCTCCTTGGCTTTTATTTATTTTTAACTCACTATGGGGGTGTGAGGAAGCTGCTGCTTTGAAGTGACTGAGGAATGTCACAGAATCCACAAATTATTTGACATTGTTGTTTTCTGATTAATCAGAAGTACATTATACCCTATACATACAGGGAATGCATCAGTTTTAAGGGGGACTATTTTTGTTGGTGTGTATATGTTTCCCCCTTTTTTTATAAGTTAATTCAGTTAGAGTCTAATTTGGTGTTTTGAATTGAAAGGTACTCATTTTCACATGTAGTAAGTATATATTTATAAATATGAATTGATGAAACTTATTCATTAACAGTATTCAGTGAATACAATGTATTCTTGAAATACACCTGTATACTTATTTCAGCTCTGTTGTTTCTTAGGTAGAAGAACAATGTAACTATTAAATATTTTCCCATTAATTTATTGCGGTAGTTCATAATATTGTATTTATAACTAATTATATGTAAATTGAAAAACTATTTTTTTCCAATTAGAAAAAAGTTGAAAAGAAAAACAAAAAATCTAAAATACATAATTTACATGTAAAAAATTAAAAGTATTTTAGCATTAATATACTTGTATGTGTACATGTAGTCTGGAAAATTGGGTCCTGTAGTTAAACATAAGTATTTCAATTTTAGCTTTTGGTTTTATACACCAGTACAGGATAATGAACTTTTCTTGTAAAAATTTTATACATTTGTAAGTGTGTGTCAAACCATAGTAAATACTGTTTGCCAGTTATTACATTCTTAAAGCAAATCACTATTGCTGTAAAGAACATCCTCTAAATTAACAGTTGTAAAAACATATACAAGAGTTCAAAGTTAAACTGATCAGGTATTGTTAACTCTAACTGTTAGGGTGTTCTTTGTGACCCTATGTAATTTTAATTTATTGGGAACTAATTCTTGTGATTTGTAAAAAATAATATTATTATATTCAAAGCTTCCACTAATATATAAACATGCAAAAAAATCAGAATTTTTACAAAACAACATAAAATTACTTGGGGTCATATAAACCCATATCCTGGTAGCTAAGTGTTGAAAAAAAGTGGTGCATGTCTAATGAAGTATTAAAAATACTTACTAACTTTATCTGTTTTATCCATTCTTTAGCATCTGGCATTTCTTTCTGCAATGGTTATTGACCTTAGTTGACATGGAGGCAAAAAAGTATTTCAAATTATTTCCCATTATGCCCCAAATGAACAAAATACTCCCTAGTCTTGTCTTTCCCTTAAGTTAATGAGTGTTTAATAACTTTTACCATTGTTCACAATACTAGTCACTAGTAAATTCAACACAGCTATAAGTATATTGATATTTGAGTTTTCCAAGTTATATCAGATATACAGTTTATATTTAATGAAGCTTTGTTTGTTTGCTGAATTTTGTGCAAAGCTACTAAAGTGCTGTCTGCACTAGCTGTCCCTAATTTTGAAGTGATAGACTAAAGGGAAGGCAGTTAGTCAACACTACCACTGCTAACTTTTGGGCTATTCTTTTAACAATGAATTATAACACTCCACTGCTGAAAGGTGACAAGTTCAATCTCATAACCCACAGATTTTGAGTCAAACACCCTAACCACCAAGCCAAGTTAGGCCCAACACACAATTGCCTATTTGTGCTGTGCCCACAATGGGTATTGAAACCCAGTTTTTAGCATCACAAGCCCCAAACTAAAAACTATGTATCTCATGCACATGTTTAAACATTGTTTATGCTGAAACATCAAAGTAATTATGCACAACTGTAACAGCATAAAACTAAATTATTTTACATCACAAATTTGTGGTCTTCATTATGATTAGTAATACCTGCATCACAAAGACAAATGGCATTGAACATTTGAGAGTTAATAAAGTCTTGAATAATAGTTGCAACTAAAAATCAACAATGAGGGTTTAATATTTAAAGGAAGCCCACCTTCTGAAAAAGTTTGGGTAATCGGTTGTTTATTGATGTGGCTACTGTATTTTTGTGTTTATTTTTACATTTTATTCTTGTGGATGATAATTATCAAGATAAATTGGTAGCTGAATGATGACTAGTTTAGTTGGATCAGTTTATATTACTGCCTTTTTGCTACAGATTGTTGTGCCATTGAATGATTTTTGCACTGAATTACATGAACTGATATTTGCCGCTTCTTACTGTGATATTTGGTGTGAACCAATTTAAAAAAATACTTATGCAAAGTTAAAAATTTTAGTTCTGTACTCTGTGATTTTATCCTTAAGGTTACTTGTAATCATGCATGTTTTACCATTTGTAAGCTACAATATCTGGTTATCATGTGTTGTTATGAAATGCTATGCTATGTTGTGCTACCCACTTGTATTGATCACAGAGACAATTGAGCTTGTGTTAACTAAGTTTAGTTAGTTTTCTCATCTTTATAACACACTCACATACATTTTGTTTATAAACTATTCTTGTGAACTCGTTTACAACAGCTCTTTACTTAAGCATACTAAACAATTCCTTAAACATTTTATTAGATTGACAAGTTCTTCCTGTAATTAACTATATCTGTTTTAAAATATGAAAATGTAAAGAATATTAAAATGAGATATTCATTGTAGTGACTTTTTTAATCTAGATCCACAGGCAATGCATCTTATAGCAATATATTTAAAGTGTTTTGTTTTTTATTAAAGTAGTTGATATTCAATATATAAGAAAAATATTCTGAAAATGTAACTACATGGTCATTGTTATATTCACTATGCAGATAAGGGAAGTGAATGGTTTATATGCAGTGTTATGTATTGATTATTGAGGTTAAGTATAATGAAGATACCTTTAGAACATGTTTTAATAACACTATCATTGTTCTCAGATAATGCATTATCTTTGGATTTAGTCTTTAAATTGAGAAAAAATTGATAATGAATATAAGTCTGTTAAGCAGCATATTCATAGTCAGTAAATCATGAGGTGCCCATAAGTTTGTTGGCTCCTCATCTATGTATATATCCTTGCATATACATGTAATTTTTTGAGTATGAAGAATTCTTTAAACCTTTTTTTTTTGTTAAGCATAATATAGTTTCATGCTTTAAGAGCCCTTTTTTTCTTTCTTAATGTTTTAGGAACTCCGAGAACGAATGACAGCTGCTGAAGTGTTTCAAAATAATGTCACTCCAGTATTTCAAGATATCCAGCAACAGTTAGCACATGGTTGCAATCATAGGAGATTTCAAACTAACAGGACAAGGTGTTATAACAATGAGTTTGTTAACCAAGTTCCATTATCTCATATAGCTTGCTCAGTCTCTGGATATCTTAAGAGCAGTGATCTAAGACTTAAGTCATCTCATTGTTCTTCTTCAGTGCACAAACCTACAAGTAACATTGACAACTTAAATGGTGAGTCAAATAGAAGATTGATTATGGAGAGTGATAATAAACAAGACAGTGGTTTAGATTCAGATTGTCGATATCAAGGTCAAAGTAACAGTTTAACACTTGTTAGTGATACTTTTAATGTTAACTTACCTGATAAGGAAGAAGGGGATCAAAGAGATCTTTATATGTTTGGAGCTATAGATGAACTTTCAGTTCTTCTGGATATTATTAACCTGAAAGGACTTTTATTGAGGAAACAAGTAGATGATAAAGATCAACAATATGCTACACAAGATGGAGAATATCATGCAAATTCCCAGCAACACTATGTATCCAGACACCAGACAAGGAACAATGTAGAAGTCAAGCTGCAACTGGTTGAAAAGGAAAGAAGTACCCTTTGTGACAAGATTACACACTTGGAGGCTACTTGTCATGAATTGAAAAATGAAAGGTGGCAACTTGAAGAAAGACTTGAAACAGCACTAGCTGAAAAAGATCAGTTGGAATTTCATATTCATGAATTGTATGTTCAGTATGTTAAAAACCATGATAGGAAAGATGAGTTCTTGCAAAAATATGACATAACAGAATTTGGTTCCCAACCTAAAAACAGTCAATCAGGAAAAGGAGTTTCTTGTGCTGCTGAGATAGGTAATTCCAGTCAGAACAAAGTATCCTCTGTTCTTAAGGAAAGAAATGTTTTGGAACTTCAGCAGCAGCTAATTAGCTATGTAATGGAAAATGAAGTTTTACAAAACAAAGTTGAGCAGTTGGAAAAATTGCAGGATGTCACAAGCGTGGATAGAGCAAGAAAATTAAGTGATCAAATTAAGCAGCTTCAAGGTGAAAAAGAAGAACTTCAAGTTGTGGTGAAATCAAGCATCTTAGAACTAAAATCTATGAATGCCAAAATGTTGATGCTCCAGAAGGCTGTCTTTGCTTTAACTCAGGAAAACCAAGAATTTAAAGAGACTTGCAAATCTTCAAAACAGATGATTCCATATCCAAAGTATCAACATTTTGCAAGACCAAATTTAAAAGTACACTCTGAGAGGTGTGATTCTGAAACACAGAGCCTCCCTCCATTCCTACCATTAGAAACTGGAAACCCTTCCTTGAATTATGGCCATATGGAAGGTAAGCAAACTGTTAAGGACACTGCATGTAACGTTTTGTATAATGTAAACTTTCCTAAAACTTTATGTGAAAATATCAGACAGCACGATATTATCACATCAGGGAAATGCGGGGAATCTCTAAGTAATAGCCAATCGTTAATTATGGAAAATCAAACTTCACTTCATTGTAAGTCATCCTCTCCTAAAACTACATTATTGTCTTGTAGTCACAGTTCTCAGTTATTGTCAGGTTTAAATACTTTATCCTATACATCACCTACTCAGCATAAACCTCTTGAAATGTGTCAAGTTTCAGCAGTAACAGAAAATAGAACTTTTGTATCCCAAAACGAAACTTCTCCAGAGTTTCAGTGTAAGAATGTCCTTTGTAATCAGAATCTTTCTTGTAATTATAATACTATGGATAATTTGAACAAAAATATCCATTCAAAGCAAATAAATAGCATATGTAGTGAGTTTGATCCCCTGCATAGTAAAATGTTTCAGAGAGACCAATTGAGACGACAGGAGTTTGTTGACTCCTTAGATTTGTCTGTGCCTTTAAAACCAGTGAAGTCAACTCAGGTCTATAGGCAAGATCTGCCCTTCCCTCGTAGTGCTGCCAACTACTTGTACGAACAAAGACTAAATACAGCAACTAACCTCAAACTAGATGTGGGACATAGGAAACAGCTTGTCATTCAGGCCTCTGGTGAAAATAAACCTAAAAATTTGCATCATCATCTTCAAATCATTTTAGATCGTCTTTCAGCAGCTGCTTCAGATGAAGCCCTGTGATATTAATGCCTCTATTTTTTTATATGTAATATCATTCTAGGAGCATCATCAGATTTTGAGTGTGATGTGTTTTATATTTTCTCATTTATTTATTGTTGTTTATAACGACTTAATATATATATGCTTTACAGAATAATCCAAGTGTTTTCATATATTTACAAGACAAATATGTAGGGACAGAATTTTATATTAATGTTTTGTTGGGTTCACAAATTTTATTTAGAATAGGTAAATTTGATTTTAAGTATTTTAACAGAAAATTAATAATCATGAATTTAGTCAAAATGTTATGTATCAAAAAGTTTTTCATTTATTGTTCATCCTCAATTAAAAGAACCAATGTATTTCTTTAGTTACATGATTTAAAAATGACAAAAATATTTGTATGAATATATTTAAAGATGATTTGAAATCATAGTAAAGAAAATTCCATAATTATTGGAATAATTTTTGATTAACATGTACAGGTATGTAACACTTAAATTATGTTAAATTTCTTGAAATATAGACTGCTCGTTTCCCACCTTAGTCTTTCCTGAGTGTTTTTTGGACTACCTCCATGTTAGCCTGTTTATCTTTTTTGGCTCTTTCCTTAGACACATGGTTTCTCTATTGTTAGGACCTTCTGGGGAGGGACACTGTATTGTCCCAAATTCATTTCCCACCTACTTATGTTAAGTATGGCCACCTTTCTCCAGCGGTCTGTTTTTCGGAAGTACTGCTGAGACTTTGGAATCCCGTGTGGAATCAGTGAGACAGCAATCGATCCTTTCATCCTTTCGTTTTTCTCATTCCAAGCCTAGACAAGCTCCTATTACTATTTCCCAGCCCTTACCAGTTCCTACTTCCAAGAGTTCCTCCTCTCATCATATTATTCAATACCGATGGACATATCACCAACAGAACCAGTGACTACCCAGTGGGTTTCAGTGGATTATTCGGGTATTATCTGAGGGACTTGTCATCCATTTCCTTTCCCCCTCCTTCATTGCCTCTGGTATCCATATCCTTTCCTTGTCTCAGGACCATCAGTCAATGTCTGTTGGAGGTGGTACAACATATTCTTTCCCAGTAAGCCATCAAACCTGTAACTCATCCTTTTCTAGGCTATTAGTAGTACCCAGGAAAACCAGGGACTGGTGGTCTGTGATTGATTTGTCCCACCTCAATCACTTTTATGGTTCTGCCCTAATTTACCATGGAGTATTTTCTCACACTGGGGGTGTACCTTTTTCTCCAGGTTTATGGATCACCAGATAGATGTCGCAAATGCTTATCTGCATATTCCAATATCTCATCTGTCGAGGTGCTATCTTCGGTTTGTTCATCAGAGGTAGTTTATCAATTTTGTGCCTTGCTCTTCGGGCTTGCTTTGGACCCATATATTGTTTGTCGAGTAGTCAAGGCTTTTGCCTGACATATGCATGCTCGGGGGTTGTGCTTACACCATTACATGGATGACTGGCTTCTGTTAGCTTGTTCTTAACAGGAGTCCACTCATGACATTCATCTGCTGCTCATGGAGGCAGCTTGTGTGGGTTGGTTAATTACATCAGAGAAGTAATTCCTTATACCTACCCAATATCTTGTCCACTTGGATGGTTTTTTACAACACTCATCTCAGTCAGGCCCAACCTTCTCCTCTTCGACTCCATTTGATGGAGCTTTCTCCATGCCCTTACTGCTCCCTCTATTACTGGTTATGAGGTTCTATTGCTTTTGGGGATTTAATCTTCTATGGAAGCCCTTATCTCATAGGGTCGGGTGCATCTGAGGTCTCTTCCATGGGCCCTGCACAACCAGTGGAACCTTGCGTGGGATCTAATAAACTCCTATTTCCTTTCCTCCTTCCCTTGTCACCGATTTGCATTGGTGGTTGGACAGGGCTCACATGCTGGCAGGTGTTCCATTTTCTTCCCCATGTCCAGATTTGCATATCTTCAAGGATGTTTCCCTCCAGGACTGGGGGTGTGGGTCGATTAGCAGGAAGCTTCAGGTCTGTGGTCTCAGGTCAAGTGATCTAACCATATCAACATCCTAGAGCTTCTGGCACTATATCGTGCTTTGGATCATTTTCTTTATCTTGCCACGAATTGTCTGGTTATGATCCATTCTGACAATTCTATGGTGGTGGCTTATATCAGTCACCAAGGCAGCAACCATTCTTGTTCTCTTTGGTCAACCCTTGTATCTCCATTTTTGGGCCCACACACTCAGTATTCGTCTCTGTTCATGCCATGTTCTGGGTGCATTCAATCTTGTTGTGGACCGTTTTTCCCATCCCAACAAAGTTTATCCAATGGAGTGATCTCTTGATCCTATCATTTTCCAGTGGCTATGCCTTTGTTGGGGTATTCCTCACCTGGATGCATTATCCACACTCTCTCAATACCAAAGTACCTCTGTTTTAGTCTCCGTTTCCTCATCCACTTGCACTGGCTGTTGATGCGTTCATTTGGGATAGGACCAACAAATACCTTTATGTGTAACCTCCCATCTCTCTTCTTCCCAGGGTGATTTCGACCATCTATGTCACTCTGGGTCAGGTCCTTCTGATTGCTCCTTACTGGCTGGCACAACTGTTGTTTCCACAACTGCTCCAGCTCCAATCTGCCCCACCATTACCTCTTCATTTTATTCCATCCCTTCTATGTCAACCTTGGTCACCTTCATTTCATCCAGCCATTCATAACCTCCCTCTTCACATCTGGTTTTTACCTGGTCTTTGGCAAGGAGATCTGGATTGTCCCGGTAAGTCACTTCATCTTAGCTCATTCCATTTGCTCTTCCTATATGGATGTTTATCAATTTAAGTGGAACGTTTTCCGCCACTGGTCCTTGAGTCAGGAGTTTTCACCTGCTCAACCTACTATTCCTATTATTACAAATTTCCTCACTTGGCTGTTTAGTCAGGGGTCTTCAGTTTTCTCGATCACGGTTTTTGGGCTGTGTTATCCCACACATTTCGTTTTTCCTGGTACTGTAAAGTTTTTACCTCTCCTACCCTCTCCCTATTGTTGTATTCCTTCAGGATTTGTCATCATCCTCCATTTCAACCTCTGTCCTTATGTTCAATTTTTCACTTATCCCTTAAGACTTATTTCATTGTCCTCTTGGCCTGTGCACTTTGTCGGTTGGATTGATTTGCCATCGATGTTTCACAAACCCTTTATCATACCACATATGTTCTCTTCTATCCAAATCACTCTTTCTTTCCCAAAACGTTGGTGGCATATGAGGGTAACTCCTCCTCGCCAATTTCCCTTCCTTCCATTTCCCACCTACATTCTCAGTCTGATCAGGATTGACTACTATGTCTCATATGTGCTCTTTGTTGTTATATTGCCTGCATAGGTTCCTTCTGTGGTACCCATTGCCACCTCTTCATTCCGTGGGAGATTTCCTTCGTTTGTGAACTTTCTCCTTCCACCCTTACAAATTGGGTTTGGCTTTTAATTTGATTGACTTATACTTTCTTGTCTCCTTCTTCCCATAATTTGTTCCATGTGTCTTCTCATCAAATTAGACACCTTATTTTTTCCCTGGCATCTCATCTTCATTGTCCCTTGGAGGAAATTCTTCAATTGGGTATGTGAACCACACCACATACATTCATCTCTCACTATCTGCATCGGATTGCTGTTTCTTCATTGTCGGATTATCGTATTCCACCTGTGGCCATCCTTCAGACTTTCGTGAGACTGTGACTGGGTAAGTTATATTTTGTATACCTCTAATTTTTCAGAGGCATTTCCTTTTTTTTTCCTGTATGAATCCCACTCTTTGGCAAGTGGTGCCTGACCAGGTGTACTTCAAATGGTAAAATCCACATTGTCAGGCCATGTTTGACTTCAGATTTATAATTTCCAAGGCTACTCAATGCTCACTGTTCCACACGGTTGCTTGTAGGTTTTTCCTTGCGATATTGATATGCTTCATTAATATGCCCATTTTAGACCATATTCACCCATGGACTTTATGGGTAAAGCAGAAGGGGATAACTGCCCATTCCTGCCATTGAATAAATCAGGTATGGTGTGCTTTTCAAAATAGGATTCTCGTGGTCACTCATTGCACTGTCTCCAGTGTTGACATTCCTCTGGACTCTCCACTGCATTTTCTCCTTCCATTTTCTTCCAATGGTAGTTCTTATCACTTTCCAGCTTGTCTCTGGGGTGGTGGACCATGGAGGCATCCTCCTGAATATGATAGTCATATACGATACAAACAATGATGAAACCATTCAGTTGAGAGTAGGGCAGTGGTGTTCTGCTGGTATAGATGACGAGATGTTCTCAAATCTGATGCTCCATCTTTGTATGGGTTTATCCGAGAAGATGTTGTAGCTTTGGAGTGAGCCATCATAATTGCAGTTCACCCGTTCAATTGTGATCCCTCATCCTAACCCAACAGTGGCTGGGTTTTGGATCTAGAGCTGAACCAATTAACATAAGTAAATTTATGATGATCCAATAAAAACTATCCAGTTTGACAGAATGTAGGGAGTTCTGTGAAATGTTGGATAAGGGAGTTTAAGTTGATAAAATCTGGTTTTACATATGTTATTTTTTTCATACTTTCACAGGTTGTATATTTGCCCAATACTACAAGATGAATGGAAGTGTTTGATGAAAGTCAAGTCTTTTGTAGTTTGATGAAACACTTCATAACATAAAATAATTGTATTTATATATTTGATGAAAATTAAACCATTAATAATAATGTTCACAAAGTAACCAAACCTTACCTGGAAACTTGCAAATATTTTGCTTTATACATTTGTAACTTCATGTGCAACATGACCAACCCTCTTCATAATTATCCATTTTATCATGAAGAGTAAGTGTAAATGTGAATAATCTGGTGGTATATGTCTTCTAAAATGGCCTTACTGTGTGAATGTATTTCTACAAACTTCGATATCAATTTTGCAACCTGTTTCTAAAGGTTTCAACTTGTCATATATAATGTATAGATGTGCATCTAACTGAAAAATATTGTTTCGAGTTGATTAAAATTTTCAAACTATGGTGGAAATTACATTTAACTTTTACCACATTTGTTTCTGTTATAGTCCATTATGGATTTCAAATCAAAGGAGTGTTATTTTCTTCACATTGGTTAGGTCTCAATAAGACTTTTGCTTTGCTATTTTAGGCACCGTAAGTGATTTTAAAGTTTCTAAAATGTAATTTTTTTTTCAGGATAATGTATGTGACACTTGTTTCATAACTAGTGTATCCAACTTCCATTATAGCTTGGGCTTCTGTTTTTTGACATTTATTTTTTAAACCAGTGTTTATTTTTAGCTGTTTTATAATTTTATTTAAACATCTAAAATCGGTGATTTTCAAGGTTTTCGTTTTATTTTTATGTAGATACATTAAAATTTGTGTTTTTTTGGAGTTTTTGGTTTTAATACTGTAATGAATAATCTAATATACCATACAATCTCTGCTCACTAATCTCTCTTGTGGGTGTAATAACAGGCATAACACATAGTTTTATTTATGTTAAAGCTTTATAAGAGCAGCTAACAATTTTGAAATTATAAAAACAAATTTACTACTAAGGAATGAACCAGTATGGAATGGGTTGGATCTTGGGGAAGTGGGGGACATCAATGTAAAGAAGCTGAATAACCATTTCTGGTGTTTATTAGAAAAACACCAATTTCATTTTTTATGTGTTTATCAGTTAAAGCCAAAAATCAGCAGCCTTAGTTATATCGTAATTCTTGATAAAATATTAATGTTATTGGCTACTGATCTCACTTATAAAAATAATTTTTTGGTGTAACAGATATGTTAAGATGTAATGGATTATTTTCCAGATGTAGTCACTAAACAACACATTTGACACTCGTTGTGATGAGAGGAAATCCACTATACATTTTAAAAGTCCACAGATACAGCTTTTGAGTGGATTGTTTATTTTTATTTAACTTTTCGGTGTGAGAAAGTAGGGGTTGATATACACATAACCTAGCTAGCTATAATAATATAGAAAGTTTTAATGCTACAAAAAGTATTGAAAGAAGAAAATCAAAACTACAAAAACTGAGTTACTTAAAATAAAATAAAAAATTATTTCTACTTTGGCTCAGACTAACATAATTGTAGTGATTTGCCAAAGTAGGGATAAATTTTTTTAAGTTTTAAGCAACTCAATTTTTGTAGTTTTGACTTTCTTCTATAAATAATAGTATACAGTATATGATGGTATACAAAAAAATCACATACTTCATAATGTTACGTCTCTGCTCGTTTGTTAATTTCCGGTATAAATTATTTCTGAGGAACTTTAGCGATACTGTTTGTTTGACTCAATTATCTATATCTATCTATCTATCTATGCAATTCTATCTTTTTCGCTGGCTTTATTTGCCGGGCTTATATACTAAAAAGGAGGGCGCCTGGAACAAACTAGAGTTGCCAGGAAAATTCATGATCGTTTGAGAAACTCCAGCGCGCATGCTATCAGAGTTGCATGACTTCCACTATCGTAACAATAATATTCAAAGATACCCAAATTTCTGTACATGTCCATAAGTGAGGTGAAATAAAAACAAATGTTGATAAAAGTTTGAGTAATATAATATAATATATATATATTATTATTATTAAGTACCTATTAAGATTTAAAATAGTTGAATTTTTAATAGCATATAAGGTAGTCATGAATGGAAAATGGGGAAAATTGTGCTACAGGTGTATGCAAAAAATAATGGTTAAATTAATTTATTTGGTAGCCAAAGAAGTGGGAAAAAAACTTTAAATATAAAAGTGTTTGGTGGAAAATTAACATTGTATTTCAGTTGTGATGAGTGAGACAATGTTAAATTGTACATTTATGAAAATAGTTGTGTATATATGACAGAGGAATAAAATATTGTGTTAACTGTAGGAATACTTCAGTTTTGAGGTTTGATGTGATTATTAATTTTTTCATACACAAAAATACTTCAAAGTACTAAGCTCTAGGTTTGTATTATGCTTTTTCTGACATTTTCGTTGTAAAATAGCCTCACTATTTTAGAAAATACAATAGCCTTCATCCACATGCAGTAGTTTGGAGATGTTTCAAGTTGCTACACATAGAGCAGATATTTATGAGGTCCATTAATACTGTTAAAGCAAAAGTTATTAAAACAGCTAAAAATTACTTGGAAAGTATTTGTTTGTTTGTTTATAGCATTAGCAGAAGAGGAGTATCCATAGTTTCATAATCTTTGTTCCCTTGGCACACTGTTAATTTAGGATGGGTCATTCTGAAGCTTGATCAAGAAGAAAACCAAAATTACCAATCAATTTGGTGGTACAAAACTGTTGCATGTTCACTTATGTTTGCAGATTTTGGTCTGATGAGGATCTACATTACAAGATCAAACCAACATCTCGAACCACCTGCACATGTATGTAAGAAAAGAACCATCATTCATACCTGAAGCCTCTTTTAAATACACCAATCACTTGTCTGCCAGTTTGTAATGTCTTATCCAGATTTGTTTCATGGAAATCTTTTACATTATGAAGTATTCTCTTTGATCCAAAAGTATTTTGCGATATATCGAGAATGAGACTTATGTAATGCACCCTCCTTGGTCATAGTTTCATTATTGGAAGCCCTGCTGTATAGTTTTTGTGCTTCACATTGGTTAATGAATGTTATGATGACTACTTTAATTATTGCATTTTTCACATCACTTGATTTTATCCATGGTTTCATTTTGCCTTCTTACAAGTATGTTTGTAACAATCACATCTTCAATTTAATTTCTGCTAGTGTTTGAACATTTGCTGAGATTCCTCCATTTATTTATGCTACTGAGACTTCTGTGTCAATTCCCTTCGAGACTAGTTGATCAGATTATTGATACCTTACTAAATAATTTTCCTCACTCTTTGGTGCTCTCACCTGTTTTAATCTGTGTTTAAGATCTTTATAGGTAGCTCCTAATCCACCCAGATCCATTATCCTTGGGGCCTGTTTGTTGTGAAGTTTACAATTTCCACATTAAAACATCTGATTTCTTTTTTAGGAGGTACCTTTAATTTTTGGATGCTTAAGATGATGTTTCTGTTGATTTTGCATATTTAATTCAAAGTTACTGCTTTTTTTGTAAGAATGAAGGGTTTCAGTGACACAATTGTGGATTTTCACAATGGTTGCTACATAGTGAAGAGAGACATTTCTCTTGCTTCACATCACTCTCTCTTTTCCATAAATGTGCATTTAGTATAGTTTTTTTAGTTTATGTATGGTAGTGTTGTTCACAGGTTTATGCACTTCCTCCTTTTGATCATGCCAGTGGGGGAGATTCAAACATTTGTTAGCTTGATTTTCTTTGAAGTCTGTTTTGGGCTTTTATTGAATGACTGACATATCTTACTGTTTCTTAGGAGGAGTTTCTTCATGACCATAGCTTGATACAAGACTGCTTGTTTGAGATGGCTTGCGAAAAAAGTACCAATCCCTTGTTACTTTGGTTTCATTTGTTATCTTGAAGTCTTGTGTAATAATTAACACTTTCTTTTTCCTTATAGGTTAGTAACTTTGTTGTTTGTGTGTTTTTAGTGTCCATTACCCCAACTAGTGGTCTTAGTTTCATGAAGTGCTTAGTGAGGGTATTTTATTTTGTTTTTTCAGTCTACATCCTTTTATGACTTCTGCTATTTTGAGAAACTGTGCTCTGATGAGGAAAGTTATCTTTAGCCACAATGACTTTGACCTGCTTAGTTACTACATATACCAAAAAATATTTAATATGCATGCTGTTATAAAAAGGACCTCCTTTTCTGTTTGTATTGGACTACCAATTACAGTTTCCTGTCTCCCAGTGGCATAAGTTATGTCTGAAGACTTACAATGCTAGAAACCTGGTTTCGATACCCATGGTGGGAAGAGCACAGATAGCCCAATGTATAGCTTTGTGCCTAACTACAAACAAATACAGTTTCCTGTAGTAATGAGACCTTTATGTGCTATGTGGACCCATTCTGATCTGGGGACATCCTTAAGTACTTGTCTTAATTGATTATGTCTTGGATGGTCTGATATGCTTTTGATTCTAACCTACCAGGCATATATGTTGTAAAATAGAATTGTCATGCACCTTTGTTTTGTTTGTGTTACTGACCAAATTTGGGGTTGTTAAGAAATTCTCTAGTGCTGTTTACTTTAGAACCAACCACATTTTTGTGGATTCTCTAGTCAGTTTCTTTTTGTAATTATTTTCTGAAATTTAGGCTCTCAGTTGATAACATATTCCCTGTATAAGAAAGATAATGTCTTGTTTTCTCAAAAAACCCACAAGAATTGTAAAATGGGAATTTATGTATAATACCTAATGATAAGTTGATGTACTGTATATTAAGTCAATATCAATTCAAAACAGATACTTACCATTTGATATACAAACTTTTTCCCTTTCTAACATTGGTTTGGTCTTAGGAGGATGACAATATAAGTAAAATGTTTAGGTTAGTCTCATTCTAAGCATGTGTAAACATGTTAAAGGGCCTTTAGATGGAGAAGTGTGGTAATGTTCCCACTACCTAGAACTTAGCATGACTGCCTAAATGTTGGAGGAATCATGTTACTCACTAAAAGGTAGGTGAATATTCCATATGAATTTGAATTTAAATAATATTAACTTTCATATTCACTCATAAGGTTATATAATCAAATTGTCCTTGGAAGTGTTTTTGGAAAGACCAGCTTTATTGTAATATTTTGGATCCAACTTACAGTGCCATAGGAAATAATAAAATCACACCAATTTTTGTATCTTACATTCTCTCAGCTTATTTCTTGAAAAACTGAGAATGACATATCAATAAGAAGTTGGTCCAATATTATGGAGAATTTATGTTTTCAAGGAATCATTTTAAATCTCATGAGAAAGATTAAGTAATTTTATTTGTGACAGTTTTGAACAAAAACTAATGTTCACTCACATAACATTTTAGACAGTATTAAGCCTCTACACTAGCCTTTATCTTTAGACATTAACCCTGCATTGCATTACTTTATTATTAAACATTTTAATTTTGAAAACAACATGAAGTACTTCAATGAATCACACATAGATTGCTTGGGTAATATCTATATTATGTAAAACATGTATCTGGCTTAGTACGTATAGCTAACATGTTCAGTTTATTTCCACATTCCTTGGAATTGCAAATTATCTAAATGAAAATTACTGTTAGTCAAGTTTCATGTTAATATTTATTATTTTATGAATTTCAAGAATTTTCTTAATTGCATACAATCAATTTATTATTATTATCAATAATTAAGTACTGTAGGTATACTGTTGTTTATTTTACTTTTTTATAATAGGTTAACTTTACAAATGAACACTACATTTAATACAAACACATCTTCAAATATAAAGATGCATACCAAGTTCCTTATGTAGTAAAATTCAAGCTAAAAATAAATGAAATGTTATCTCTTACTTTTCAAAACACATGCAGAATGTAAAGCAGTGTATTTATAACACTTACCAAATGATTATTTCAACACTTCTGACATACAGAAACGAATGATCTTGGCAGAATCATACTGGTATCATGGGAGTCCATAAAACAGTGTTTTTCTCAAGAACATTTAAACAGTAGTTGATAATCAATTTATAAGTCAAAATTCCACTAATTTCACCTAATGTACATTTCAGTCCCCTACTGTGCACTGATGTTAGCCACTTTTGGTGCCAAACAATCCTCATTACTAATTCTTCAGGTTTACCAATTTTTGTTGAAGTAATGCAGCATTTAAAAAGAATAATATAAATAACAAATATGTGTATAAAGTATATGAAATATTTAATTAATTGCTTTAAGTGATCAGTTTCAAACCTTTTTCGGAGTTTGTTTTATTTGATGTACAGAGTAACTAGATGTAATTGTAACTAACAGTTTAAGGATACATTGCTTCTGAGTATGAGTGAACTTAAGGCAAGGGAAGTGGATGTCATTTATTAAGATACACTTTACTGTATACTTTTTAATTCAGGAGCCACAAAAACTAGCAAGAAAATATCAAAATTTGAATATCTAGATAAAAACAAAATTGCACATTACTGCAGGCTCAACTCCACAGATTCAAGCCTCTTTGACTGATGTCACGCTTTTTCTTTGAGCTATGGACAAAGCATTGACATACTGACAACACTGCTATATACATTTAGCTCTATTTTTTATTTTTATAACATTTTTAAGTTTATAACTAAACCTATATGTGCTTCATGGACATACAAAACAGCTACAAACTACCACTTTTACTTATATCACATATAAATTAAACAGTAAAGTAACCTAGTTTATCAATTAACAGAAATTATCATACTACTCTTCTAAGTCCATATCACGTTATCATCCTGAAATTAACTTTCTAAAGAACTTTTTTAAAGTAAATCAGGCCATATTCTTAGGAAATGCCTAAAAATGTGAAAGTACCGTGTAAACAGGAGGTTATTTAATACCACATAAGATGTAATTCAAATTACCATATCAACTTAACTCAGAAAGCGGATGTAGAAAATGCACAATATCCCCATATTTAAAACTAAATGGCTCAAAGTTAAAACAAAAAAAAGAATAACAGTACTTTCCTTAGAAATACAAAATTCTTCAACATGAATAATAATCTTACCATATTTGACTATAAATTTAAGTGTACATGGGTGTTGGTGTTCACTTCATATTATATAGATGTATTAGAAAACTTGTGTTAGAAAAGAGAAATGTTATGGCATATATATGAACAAAGTATTCTAGGAGAGACTTAAACCAGATATGTATGAAAATGAGGCAACATTGTAGACTACAATATACCCATATGTAATTTTTCTCATCTCTGACAACTGTTCAAACTACAAATAAAAAGGATATTATATAACATATTTAACTTTAACAGCCAAAACATAAATGTTGATAAACGTACAAGCTTTTCTTACTGTGAATGTTACAAAGCAACAGCATTTATACAAAATGTTGAAATATGTTATCTAGAATGTAAAGATACTTATACAAATAGCAAACAAAATATTATTTTTCTTTAGACAAAGTTATATTGCCATCTTATGTTTGATATTATATTGTTTCACACATTCTAAAAACATAAGTGCTTATATCAGTCTGACAATTGTCATCTATATGGAAAAGCCATCTATGCCTTATATGTAACTTTACATAAGGTTTTCTAGTTTTTATTTTCCTTAAAGCCTGATTCATTATGATGAAATTTCAAAAATGACTACATCTACATGTATTAAAAAGAAACTGTCACTAATAATCAAAATATTAACATACATGCACAGCATTTTTACAGATTAGAAACTTCTGACCAGATTTCTTTCTTTTTAATAATTTGTAAACTGAAATACATAAAATATTGATTCCAAAGGTAAACAGCTTCAGTTGTGTAACCTGCTCCTGAAAGTATTTCAGTTTTCCCATTACTGGGCTTGCATCTTTGTGAATATAAACTGAAGCATTAAAGACAGAAAAAATTTATCACATACTATTTTATGTAAATGATATTTTATCTAGAAATTTTGCCAAAACAATTGTTGTCAGCAGGTCCTGCTAGGTTAAGTAGACAGGTATATCTTATTTAAAATGAAAAAAAATCACCCCATCTGCAAGTGATTTCAAGGTGACTTCACCCAAACCACCATTCTAGGATGGACAATACTTCCAATTTCACAGTTCACTGTTCTTGTTTTACCATTCACTACAAAGATTGCTTCATTGGCAGTGGTCACCATGTATGTGCCAAAGATGCCTGCACTGGACATTGGTCGATTTGTGTTCTTCCATTCTGCTACACCTGGGTCCATTGCTTGTCCAATACCAGTGATCATTTCCACCTTCCCATTGGCAAGGTCAACGAACAAGATGTCTTCCTTATTAGAGGAACTGGCATACAAGTCATAGCTTTGTGTGGTACGTGATGGAAAGTAGGTGATGTCACTGATATGGAGAGTTGTCCTCACATCAAATAGAAACTGTAAGCCTGTACAGAAATTTTAAACTCTGCTGTGTGAGAACATAAAAACTATTCTATGAAAAATAATGCTTGTTCTTGCATGAAATTTAAATTGTTTAGCATACATATAAAAACTACAGATTAAATGTCTCATAAGTATACACACACACACATACATATATATATATATATATATATATATATATATATATA